ACGGTAATACAGAAAATGTTCTAGAAAAAATCTCATGAAATGCATTTAATAAAAATAAATAAGTTTAGGAGTCCCCTCCCTCAGTTATGCTTATCCTTGATGGGCTTATACTATAATGAATTCAAATTTAGTTTTCAATATGCATTAATTGAATACTCACTTTTATTTTTATTTTCTAATTTTCGTAAGATTCAATAGAGAATTAACAAATAATTTAACCCTGAAGTCAGAACTTCTACTAAATTCACATTATTTCCATGACTTAGGTGTCTTAATTCTGACAAGTATAATAATTGAAAAAAAAATCCCTTTACAATTTTATGGTTTATAGGGTCTGGTATTGAGAATCTCAGTAAAATGATGTTGTATAGAGTGCTATGAAGATGAGAACAGCTAATCTTAAAACCATAGAAGTATTTAGTGTGTGATTACATTTATGTAATATTTTTGAAATGACAATATTTTGGAAATGGAGGATACAATATAGGTTGCCAGGGGTTGGGAGGGGGCAGAGAGGAAGGTAGGTGTGGTTATACAAAGGCACCATGGGGGAATCCTTGAAACTGTTCAATATCTTGACTGTGATGATGAACACATAAACCTACACATGTGATTACATTGTTCAGCACTAAACACAAGTAAAACCGAAAATCTGAATAAGATTGGTAGATTGTATCAATATCCTGGTTGTGATACTGACATTTGCAAATTGTTACAATTGGAGGGAAACTAGGCAAAATGTACAAGAAATCTCTCTGTACACAACTGTGTGATCTCAAAGTTTTATTTAAAAAATGCAAAAAAGTCTCATTAATCCAGAAACAATAAGAGATAACATACAAGACCTTTTTAGCCTCGGAACCAAGGAGACACTCAGAGCTGCCCCCACCCCAGCCAAGGTGCAGGCAGAACAGTGCTGCCAAAGTGGCTCTTCTCTGACTCTCCTCCCTATCTGAGCTACAGTTGAAAGATTTCTGGGAAGGGAGGGAATAAAATAGAGGCATACTGTACACTGGACCTGATCATCCCAGAAAACAACACAACCCAATAATGTATAGAGCAATGCAAACGGCTAAAACATGTATCTACAGGCTATCAGCAACAGAATTGCAGAAAAGTAATTGTGTAGTGAGTGATTTCATATTATCCCCTCCGGTGGACTGTACACTTCACCAGGAAGTAGAAGCATGAGCAGTCATGCTCACCATTATATCTCAGCCCCTAGCACTGCATTTGACACATAGAAAATGCTCAATATATGTTCACTGTGTTTGGATGAAAAAATGAAAAGCCCATATGTTTTGTTCTATAGTATGGCTTCTCTTTTCCCTCCCTACTAATCTCCTTCATTTTCTCCTCACCCATCACCTACACTTAAACACATACACAGGGATCAAGGCTGGGCAGTCCTTTAACCTGTCTGTGCCTCCGCCCTGCTCACCTGTGAGACAAGGTAACAATAATCACTGCTTCAGAGGACTGCCATAAGAATTTTAAAAATTAAAAATTCAGCACTTACACCGAAACCGGTTTGGCTCAGTGGATAGAGCATCGGCTTGCGGACTGAAGGGTCCCAGGTTCGATTCTGGTCAAGGGCATGTACCTGGGTTGTGGGCACATCCCCAGTGGGAGATGTGCAGGAGGCAGCTGATCGATGTTCCTCTCTCATCGATGTTTCTAACTATCTCTCTCCCTTCCTCTCTGTAAAAAATCAATAAAATATATATATATATATCAGCACTTACAACAGTATTTGGCAGATTGTAAGTGCCATGTTGGTGTTTGTTCAACTGCCACATAATTCTGACACAGATTAAGAGTTAGCTCAGACCTGGCAGGTGAAGGGCACCATCCTCCTCCACAAGCTCTGGGGTTCCCATGCCACCTGTGCTACCGACACACTATACAAATTTGGGGGGTTCCCACTCCCCCTTGGATTCAATTAGTCACTAGGTTGACTCATTGAACCCAGGAAAGCGATGTACTTAGGATTACAGATTTATTGTAAAGGATACAAATCAGGACCAAATAACTAGATGCACCGGGCGAGGTCTGGGAGGGCCCCAAACATGAAGCTTCTTTGTTCTCAGTACTCCTTACCTGACAGCATATCAATACATGAGTACCAACCAGGAAGCTTACTGCAGCTTCAGTGTCCAGGAGGTTTTTATCAGGGTTTCAGTACACAGACATGGATGACTGAATCATTGGCTCCAGCCTCCCTCTCTTTCCTACTTGGGAAATTTCAAGGCTTTAGAGGTTATCTCCCAGGAGCCAGGGACAAAGATCAGCCAAGTTCTTTACTATACAACATACGGAAATTTTAGTAAATTGAATAGGCAGAAGGGAGGACAAAAAAAAAAAAAAAAGCATTTCAGGAAGGGAGGTGTCTGAAAATAAAGAGGCAGAAATAAGTGTGGTATAGTCATGGTACAGTAGAAAGACCTGTTAGGTGATTAGCTTTGCTATGTTGTAATGTGCCAGCCTTGAAGTTGAAAGACCATGGGTCTGCTATTCGATAACTATGGTGCCATCTTGTGGGAGTAGAGGGATCATTGTAAACCAGCTTAAATCCTTTCTCTGAGAGGGGGACATAATTTAAATAGGTATACACACAACTTAGTGGATTGAAACAACAAAACTATATTATCTCTCACAATACTGTGGGTTGATGGGGCAGTTTTCTGGCTTCATTGCAATTCATGTGTCTGCATCAGCTGGCTGATGGCTGGACGGAAACTCCAAAGAGGCCTCTTTCACACATGCAGTGAGTGCCTGGGTGCGGACAGCTAGGGTGCCTACAGAATGTTTCTCTACAGGCGATGTCTCAACTTCTGGTGCTTCTCTACACGATGGCTTCGCTACAGCAGGACAGTCTGGACTCCCTGACAAGAGAGCAAAAGCAGAAACTGCCAGTTGTGTTAAGCACACCACTTTTTCCACCATGTTCTTTTGGTCATAGCAAGTCACACGACCAGTCCAAATTCAAGGGGAGGGGGAGCAAATTCCATATCCTGATGGGAGGAGCAGCATGTTGCATGTGTGTACAGGGAGGGAAGGAATCATCACAGCTGTCTTCAGAGACTACCATATTCTCTGATTCCCAGCTTACTCATCTGAAAATGTGTATTTTATTATCTACTTCAACTAGATTAATGAGATTAAAACACATGATATATAAGTGACAGCATTTTGTAAATTTTAAAGTGCTAAACAAGTACAACATATTATAGTGGTGGGTGGTAAAGGCAGATTGGAAGAACGAGAGCAGATTATAAAAGGAGATAGATTGTAATAACATTTATTGAGCATTTACTATATGTCAGGCATTGTACTAAGTGTCTTACAGGTATCTTCTTTAAATCACCACAACAAAACTTAAAAGATGGATATTTCATTTTATTTTACAAGAAAGGAATTGCAAGTGAGTGGCAGAGCCAAAATTGGAACCCAATTCTGTTTGGTTCCAAAGTCTTAACTACTGTACCCAGAGTTCTTCGATCACTTTTATCTAATCATTCTGCAATTGGGTTAAGGGGAGGTAGTAGCTACCCCGAAATACTGAAACAAATTTTTGGAGGCAGAACCCATAATCTGCATTTTTAACAGCTAGTTAATGTGGGAGAAACATTCAACCTCACTGTATATAGTAAGCCTTCTAAGGTTTTTCACTAGTTCAAAGATACTAAGAAGACCAGCTTAGAGGAAATGTAAGATTGCAGGTGCAGAAGAAAATGAATTAGAAAAGTGCCTGGCTATTGGGAGAATAATTATGTTTTCTAGAGGTTGATGCTAAAGCTGGGAAATGAAAGTAAGGCTAGAAAAGTTAAAAGTCAGACCCAACAACTTGCAAATAACCAAATTTACATTTATTTGTTAATTCATCAATTTTTTTTTACCTTTTTGCATTTGGGCTTGTTATTTCCTGTGCTAGAAAACCCCAAGTTCCTTCACCCCACCCAACTTGGCTAACATTTATTCCTTTTGGGTCTGATGAAAGATATGTGCCTTCTCTGGGAAGTTCTTTCTGGCCATCTCCCACCCCCAGGGGTTCCACGTGTGTGCTGTGCCTTCCTCCATCCTATCAGTTAGGCCCTAAATATTGGTTTCTGTGCCTTCTTCAGCACTAAACAGGAGAACCTTGTGTAGGAAGGGGGAGGCAGGGGGGAGAAAAGGAGAGATTACTAGTAAGAGATGGGTCTTAGAAAGAGCCACTGCAAAGCTGCACCGTGTTTGTACTTTGAACAGGCTGAAGACCTGTTGAGAATAGAAGATGAAGGTTATGGCAGGGGTTCTCAACCTGTGGGTCGAGACCCCTTTGGGGGTCGAACAACCCTTTCACAGGGGTCGCCTAAGACCATCGGAAAACACATATATAATTACATATTGTTTTTGTGATTAATCACTATGCTTTAATTATGTTCAATTTGTAACAATGAAAATACATCCTGCATATCAGATATTTACATTACGATCCATAACAGTAGCAAAATTGCAGTTATGAAGTAGCAACGAAAATAACTTTATGGTTGGGGGTCACCACAACATGAGGAACTGTATTAAAGGGCCGCGGCATTAGGAAGGTTGAGAACCACTGCTTTATAGAGTTTACCAAACGGCAGCAGTTTGATACAGGGCAGCCCCATAGATGTCTCTTCATGACCAGGACAGTTAAAAGCAGCCTGGAAAACCCGTCCCTCCAATAATTACATGCATTTTAACTTAGCCCATAAAACAGCTGGTTGAAATTTTGTAAATACAAGAACAGATTTCTTGTTTTCTTCACATGGGCTCGAATGAGCCTGATAAGTGATGCTAGCAAATTAAGGCACCTTCCATCCGGGCAGCACCTGCCCCAAGCTAGCATGGCGGCATCGGCTTCTTTCCGGTCACACCCCCAGTTACCCTATGGGCCTTAGTGGAGCCAGGGCTGGTAGACGGCGCTGCCCGACGCGCGTTGATGACGGCGCACCCGCGCCTGGGAAGCGGGCCGAGCGAGTCTGCGCAGGCGCAGCGCGACCGCGGTGGGCGGAGCCGGCGGAATGAGTGGCGGCGGGCCGGAGGCCGCTGTGGGTGGTGAGGCCCCCGCGGCGGGCGGCAACAAGAAGAAGGACTCACTGGGAACCGCGGGGTCGCCGGCGCACCTCATTATCAAGGGTACGGAGTGCAAGGGACATCGCCCTGGTGGGAGCCAGGGCGGCCTCGCCTCCCAGGCGGCGTCCTCGGCCCCGGGGTGGCGAGGCGAGCAGGGTCGTGGCCGCGCTCCCTAGTTCTCTACTCCCGGCGCCTCCTAGGAACGACCCGCCCAATCTCTCTTACTTTCTCCAGGGAAAAAGCCTAGACGTGGGCCTCCTCTCCTGTCCCCAAGCCCGGAACCCGGGCGCAGGGCCTCCGTGGGCGCGGCCACCTGGGATGCGGAACGCGGAGTGGGAGGGGGCCGGGCTGCGCCTCCGGCGGCCGGACCTGAGGTCGTGGCTTCACCCACCCTGGCTCTGCGCCTGGTCAGGCTGGAGTCAGTGAGATCACAGCTGAAAGCGTCTTCAAGCTCCAGACACGTGCACAGAGGCCTGTTCTGTCCCAGGTGCTTCGAGCTGGGAGCTTACAGCCTAGTAACATGGATTCTCACAGACCCCGAATTTACTTAGAGTCCAGAGCTCGCCACCCTGTTTCCTGCAACAAGGTCTTTGCCAGTTTCTTTCTTTTTTTAAATTAAATCTTTATTGTTCAGATCATTACAGTTGTTCCTCTTTTTTCCCCCCATAGCTCCCCTACACCTGGATCCCACCCCACCCTCTGCCCTTACCCCCCCACACCCATCCATAGTTGTATGATTTTTATCCAGTCTCTTCCCCCACCTCCCACACCCCTTTCCCACCAAGAATTGTCAGTCCACTCCCTTTCTATGCCCCTGATTCTAATTATATTCTGTTCATCAGATTTTTTATTCACTTGATTTTTAGATTCACTTGTTGATAGATATGTACTTGTTCATAATTTGTATCTTTACCTTTTTCTTCTTCTTCCTCTTCTTAAAGGATACCTTTCAGAATTTCAGATAATCCTGGTTTGGTGGTGATGAACTCCTTTAGCTTTTCCTTATCTGTGAAGCTCTTTATCCAGCCTTCAATTCTGAATGATAGCTTTGCTGGGTAAAGTAATCTTGGTTGTAGAATGTTGCTATTCATCACTTTGAATATTTCTTGCCACTCCCTTCTGGCTTGCATGGTTTCTGTTTTGAAATCAGCTGACAGTCGTATGGGTATTCCCTTGTAGGTAACTGACTGTCTTTCTCTTGCTGCTTTTAGGATACTCTCTTTGTCTTTTGCTCTTGGCATTTTAATTATGATGTGTCTTGGTGTGGTCCTCTTTGGATTCCTTTTGTTTGGGGTTCTCTGCGCTTCCTGGACTTGGAAGTCTATTTCTTTCACCAGGTGGGGGAAGTTTTCTGTCATTATTTCTTCAAATAGGTTTTCAATATCTTGCTCTCTCTCTTCTTCTGGCACCCCTATAATTCGGATGTTGGTACGCTTGAAGTTGTCCCAGAGGCTCCTTACACTATCTTCATATTTTTGGATTCTTTTCTTTTTGTTTTTCTGGTTGGGTGTTTTTTGCTTCTTTTTATTTCAAATCTTTGATTTGATTCTTGCGATCCTCTAGTCTGCTATTGGAACTCTGTATAGTATTCTTTATTTCAGTCAGTGTATGCTTAATTTCTAGTTGGTCCTTTTTCATATCCTCAAGGGTCTCACTAAATTTATTGGCGGTCTCACTAGATTTATTGAGGGGTCTCACTAAATTTATCAGCGGTTTCTAGAAAATTCCTGAAAAACCTTATAAGTGTGGTTTTGAACTCTATATCCTGTAGTTTGCTTTCCTCCATTTCTGTCATTTGTGACCTGTTTCCTTGTCTCCGCATTTTTTATGCTTCCCTGTGTTGATAGAGTGGCTTTCTGTGTTAGGTGTCCTATAGGGCCCAGTGGCTCAGCCTCCCCAATTACCTGAGGTGGACACTCTTGGTACACCCCTTTGTGGGCTTTGTGCACAGTCTTGTTGTAGTTAAGCCTTGATTGTTGTAGATATCACTGGGAGGAATCGACCTCCAGGCCAATTGGCTGTGAGAATCAGCTGTGTCTACAGTGGGAGAACTTTGTGCTGGAGACACCCTTATGAGGCAAGACTTGCTTCAGTGGGGCTTTGGTGCTCACTGAGTCTGCCCCCTGAGTGTGTCCTTTATGGATCCGAGAAGCTGCAATCTGGATGGTCCCACTCTGACCACTGGGTACACTGGCTCTTGGATCTAAGGAGGTGCTAATTTAGCCTCTGCCTGAAGCTACCCAGCAGGAGCTATGGAGAGATCTACAGATTCCTCTTCTTTGAGGTTTGCAGGTGCCTAGATGAGGCCCAGCTGTGAAGCAGTGCAAGCTGCTGTCAGGCCTTGGGACTTCTTTTGGAAGTTCTGGGTCTCTCTGACCCAGCTGCAGTTTGTTAGGTAATTTGCAGATTGCAAAGGGCCAGGCCTTTCATATGCAAAAGCTTGGGTGGGGCGGGGTCTCAGGGAATCAACAGGGCGGAGCAAACAGCTATGGCTGATCCTCAGCCCTGTCCTAAGAGGCCCCACTTCTCAGTGTCCCAGTAATCGCTGCAAGCACCTCTGAGAGAAAGCCGCCCTCGAGTTCCGACCGATGCCAGACAGTCCAGTTTCTTCCAGTATGAGTCTGGGTCCCCAGAGACTCGCCTGGAACTGGAGTTCAGAGCAGTCGGGAGCTTGAGACTCCCTCCCGATTGAAAAAGACAGCCGCGTCCTCAGTTGCCAGCCCTTTCCACGTGCACTTCTGTACCTCTGCACTTTACTTCCGCATCTCCTCAGTGTGCTTTTCTCTTTCCTTCTAGTTGTAGAAATTCCACTCAGCCAGCCTTCCTGTGGTTCTGGATGATGTCCGTTTTGTCTTTTAGTTGTATTTTTGAAGTGGTTGTGCGAGGCAGCAATTTCCCGTGTTTACCTATGCCGCCATCTTGGTTTCTCAGTTGAATTCTTCAGTTTCTCATCGCCAGTCTATCTTAACCCCCTCCACCCCGTCAGCCCCACCATGTTGCAGTGTGGAAGAAGCCCTGGTAGGACTCCCGAGCCCTTCAATACCACCCGTGGCAGGCCCCTCGGATGCTGTCTGTTTTTTAACCTTAGGTGTTAGGATTGGAGAGCGCAGGAGTGGGGCACAGGTGTTCAGGCTACATTATAATTGTTTATAGGTGTAATCTTAGTGAACTACCACTTCATTTTTTTTCGTTGTAGTCAAATACCTCATAACAAGTTTTATCTTAACCATCTAAGTGTACAGTTCAGTGGTGTTAGTACATTCACATTGTGCAACTGTCACTCCCATCCACCTCCATAACATATCTTCCCAAAGTCTGTACTCATTCAACACCCACTCCCGGCGGCTTCTAGCAGCCACCATTCTATTCTGTCTCTGAGGACTACTCAAAGTACTTTATATAAATGTAATCAGACAGTGTTTGTCATTTTGTAATTGGCTTATTTGACTTAACCATCCTCAAGGTTCATCCATACATACTGTAGCATGTGTCGGAATTTCCTTTTTAAAGCTAAGTAATATTCTGTTGTATGTATGTATGTATATATACACACCACGTTTTGTGAATCCATTTATCCGTGGGTGGACACCTATGGCTTCCACCTTTTGGTTATTGTGAATATGGGTATGCACATTATATTTGAGTCCCTGCTTTCAAATTTTTTGAGTATATACCCAACACTGGAATTGCTGGGCCAAAGATAATTCTGTTTTTTAATTTTTTGAGCAATCGCCATATTGTTTTCCATAGAGGTTGTATGATAGTACAGTCTCACTAACTGCACAAGCATTCCAGTTTCTTCACATCCTCACCCAGACATGGCATTTTCTGTTTCCCTGCTGGACCCTCCTAATGGGTATGAGGTAGTATCTTGTAGTTCTCGTTTTCATTTCCCTAATAAATAGTGATGTTCATCATCTTTTTATGTGCTTAGTGGCTATTTGTATAGCTTCTTTGGAGAAATGTCCATTTGAGTCCTTTGCCCATTTTTCTATAAAATAATTTGGGGTTTTTGTTGTTGTTTTAGTTGTAGGGGTTCTTTATTCTGGATATTAACCCCTTTTCAGATACATGATTTGCATATATTTTCTCCTCTTCCATGGGTTACCTTTTCACTCTGTTGATTGCATCCTTTGTACAGAACTTTTTAATTTTAATTTACTTTAAAAAAAAAAAGATAATTCAAGGGAAGTTTTTCAAGTTAATCCAAAATTGAGTTGCAATTGAAAATATGTCTGAACAGCCTTGGCTTTTTCAATGGATCCATTCATTCTAAATAATCTATTTTTAGTTCATCTTACTTGAAGACTATCAATTGTGAACAGATATTTGTTTAATTTTATTGCTAGAGTCTAGTGAAAGGGAAACATATAAATAAATGATTTAGATACTTATGCCTTGGGTCCTTGAGGGTTTCTGGCCCATGGGTGGGTGTTAGGGGTGGGGACTGGGAGACAGGAGCATCTTCCTGGAGGATGGAGTGTCTGATCTGCGTCTTGAGGAATAAAGTATTGGCAGTTAACAAAAAGGGCAAGGTATTTTGGACTTTGGAACACCATGAGCAAAGGCATGCGGGCCTACAGCAGCAGGAGTGTCTGGGAAATAAGGTGGAGTTTCATGGAAATCAGACCATAGAAGACATTTTCTTCAGTGGCAGGAAACTATCCAATAATAAGTATGAGAATCATTGTGATTAGATTTGTATCTGCACTTGGGCAGATAGTAGTTGTTCCTCATCTTGTGGATTGCATATTTGTGAGTTTGCCTGTTTGGTAAGATAAATTCATAACTCCAAAATCAATGTTGGTGGTGCTTTCATAGTCATTCCCACATAGGCAGAGTAGAGAAAAAAATTTAGCTGCCCTACGTGCACATTCATAGCTGAGTTTGAACAACACACCACTGCTTTTTGTTTCAGCTCTCTTACAATAAACAAATGTCCTTTTTGCTCTCTATTTAGTGCCATGTTTTTCACTTTTATGTAATGTTTGTTGTTGGTTTTGCTGTTTAAAGTGGTTTCCAAGTATAGTGCTGAAGTGGCCCTAAACACAAGAAGGCTGTGA